TGAAGGGGTGCTTGCCCGCGCTATCCTGCCAACGCCGTCGGCCGCCGTCTACCGGTGGCTGCCGCCGTCCGTCATCGCCGCCGCCGTCGTCGCCGCAACCAGCGACCTCGTCACTCCTCATAGCTGGCGTCGTCAGCTCCGCTCTCGCTGTCATCGTCACCATCACGTTCGTCTTCCATGTCCTCGTCGCCATGGTCGTCATCGTGCCCGCCGCGGTTTTTCTCGCCGCCGAACATGATCGGGCGCCAAGCTCGCATAGTCTAGCCATCCTTGGCGGGCCGCCCCCACTCCCCCCCCTGCGAAAGCGCCCCTTCCTTTCCCGTGGGTCATTTCCTACCTGCGCGACGGGAGGAACCAAGAATCGAGTGCGCGGACATTCGCGCGTAAATTGCGCGTGAACGCATTTTCGCGTAAGGTTATTTCTTCGGTTCTTCGCTCACCTGGCCCGAGATGGGAAACGGCGGGTCCCGTGGTGAAATGAGCGCCCCGCTGGACCTGGGTGAGAAATGGAAAATCCTAGGGTGGACTGGGCGCCGCCACTTTTGTGAACCATTCACCGCCACCTGGCCCCAGATGGAAAACAGGGAAGCCTGGGGTGAACCGGGCGCCCCCCAAGCCGATCATGGTGTGGACTGGGCCCCGGCTGGGGACATGGTGAACCTGGGGCGCCATGCGGTTCGCCCCCGGCATGGGCCCAGCGGGAAAGGGTCATAGCGGGGAATCATGTCACACGCCTGGAAGCGCCAAAACGGTGGGGGTTCATTTTTCGAAGCTCTGTTGGAAAGGTTCTGGAGCTTTCTTGGGGCATCTTGTGCGCCTTGTGTGCCGTCGTCAGGCCCGCTGGGGCGTCCGGGTGCGTTCTTGGGGTGGGTCGGGGTCTTCCTGGACCACTTGGTGAACCACCAGGTTTTTTTTGGGGGGGCCAACCTGGAGGCGTCGGGGGGTGGATTTGGACGCCCGGAGAACCCCGGCGGTATTTTTCCTCCGCGCTCCCCCCCCCCTTGTATAGTATGGTTTTGGACCCCGGGGGGAGCAAAGGGGGAGGGGAGACAGCCAATCATCCCACACGCATTATCACCCCTGGGAAGCGGGGGTGGGCGGAGATATTCATATATTCATATGCTCGTACATGTATATTATGTATGTGATGTTTGTATGCATGTATGTATGTATGTATGTATGCATGCATGCATGCATGCATGCATGCATGTATGTATGTATGCATATCTACATGTATGTATGTATGTATGTATGTATGTATACATGCATGTATGTATATATGTATATATGTGTATATTAATATGCACGTACGCACGTACGTACGTACGTACGTACGTATGTATGTATGTATATATGTACATATATAGGTATATGTATATGTCTCTAGACATATCTGTGTGTGAATGTGTGTGTATGCGTTTGTGTGTATATATGTATGCATACATGTATGCATGCATGTATGCATGAATGTATACATGTATGTATGTATGTATGTAAGCAACTGTTTAAAATTGTCTGTGTGTATATGTATGCATGTACGTATTTATGTATGTTTGTATGTATGCATGCATATATGCATGTATACATGTATCCATGTATGTACGTACGCATGCATGCATGCATGTAAGTATGCACGTGTGCATACATGCGTGTATATGTATTTGTATGCATGTATCTTTGTATGTATGTATGTATGTATGCATGCATGTATGTATGTATGCATTTATGTGTGTAGGTATGTCTACATTTATATATACGTATGCGTGTATGTACATATGTATGTATGTATGCATGCATGCATGTATGTATGCATGCATGCATGCGTGCATGCATGCATGCATGCCCATAGGTATTTAGGTATGTGTGTAAACATGCATGTATGCATGCATGCATGTATGTATGCATACATGTATGTATGCATGTATGTATGCACGTATGCATGTATGTATGCATGTATGCATGTATGTATGTATGTGTATATATGTATGTATGTGTGTATGTATATACGTCGTACATTTGTATGTATGTATGTATGCATGCATGCATGCATGCATGCATGTATGTATGCATGCATGCATGTATGTATGTATGTATTTAGGTATGTATGTATGTATGTATGTATGTATGTATGCATGCATGCATGCATGCATGTATGTATGTATGTATGTATGTTTGTATGTATGTATGTATGTTCATACGTATGTATTATGTATGTATGCATGCATGCATGCATGCATGTATTTATCTATGTTTGTATGCATGCATGCATGCATTCATGCATGTTTGTATACATATGTACATATACATATCTAGTGGCCTTCGGCCGTTGTGGGTTAGAGGTCTTGTGGATGTTCGTTTGGATATCGTGTGGGGCCTCTCGTGGGCTTCTTGGAGGCAGTTTTGGGCCCTCTTGGGGGCCGTTTTGGGTCCTGTTGGGGCCTCTTTTTGGGGGCTCCACGGGGCCTCTTGGAGGTTTCGTGGGGCCTCTAGGGGGCCTCTTGCTCTCTTGGGGATCTCTTGGGGCCTCCTTGGGGCCTCTTTGGGCGGACGGCTCGAATTGTCGGTTCGTGCTCCCCCTCTTGGGCCCCTCTTGCGGCCGTTTTGGGCTCTCTTGGGCGATTTTGGGCGCCTCTTGTGCCGTTTTGGGGCCCTTTTGGACCGTCTTGGGGCCTTCTTGGGGCCCTCTTGGGCCGTCTTGGAGCGGTCTTGGGGGCTTCTGGGGCCATCTTGGAACGTCGGAAGCCCGAATAGATGAGAACGCGAAAAACACAGACAACACACGAGGACACTCAATGCTTTTTGCTTCTTTGGGTCCTCGTAGGGGTCCTCTTGGAGCGCTTTTGGGATTTCTTTGGGGCCTCTTGGGCCGTCTTGGGGCCATCTTGGACGTCTTGGGGCGTTATTGTACTGGTCTTGGGGGCCTCTTGGTTTTCTGAGGCCCTATTGGCCCGTCTCGGGACTCTGTGGCTTCCGGAAATGTCATGCGGGGCAGCCCAGTAGCGCGCGGGAACACCCAGGAAATTTGAGAATGTTGGGCACCATCCTTCAGAATACTACGATCCCAGAGTCCTGAGTACAGAGCACAGAGGACACGTGAGGACCTGGAGAAAAGTCCACTTCGCGCCCCGCGACGCAGTGACAATGTTGGCCGACTCGCTCACTGACAGGCTGCGCGGAGAGCAACTCTGGGCGTCATGTTGTACAGTGGTCATGTGACCTTCCCGTCTATTCCTCTTCGCCTACACACCCATGTACTTGTGAACTCAGACAAATTGAGACTGCACGCCCTCGCGCAATGTTTAATTCAAACATGTGGATGTATGCATGCATGCCTGTGTACATACATGCGTGCATGCATGTATACATGGACTCATGTACGCATATATGCATGCATGTATACATGTCTGTATACATTGTTTTACAGCTATATACGATCATTGTGTGCATGTATGTATGCATGTGTTTAATGATGTATGCATTTGTGTATGTGTAGTTGTATGGCTGTATGTGTGTTTGTCTCTATGCGTGTATGCATGTATAAATGCATGCATGTCTGTATGCTTGTACGTACGTATGTAGATATGTATGCATGGATGTATGCATGCATGCATGTATATGTATGCAGGCATGTAGGTATGCTTGTATGGTTGTGTATAGGCGTATGTAAATTTGTATATGTATATGCATTTGTATACGCGTATGCGTATGCACATATACATATGCATACGCACATGAATTTGTATATGTATATGTTTAGGTGCATGCATATGAATAGGTGTATGTAGACCTATATGCGTAGGTACAGGCATGTACACACATATTCAGGTGTGTGTATGTGTGTATGTTTACGTGTGCGTGTGCGTGTATGTGTATGTGCATGTGTATGCGTATGTGCATTTGTATGTGTATGTGCAGGTGCATGCTTATGTTTATGTGTATGTGTATGTGCAGATATGTATGCATGTATGTATGCATGTGCGTATGTATAAATTCAGGTATGCAGGTATATATATATATACACATGTGTGTGTATGTATGCATGTATGTATGTGTGTAGGTATGTGTATACGTATGTATCTATGTATGTGTGGATGTATGTACGTACGTACGTATGCATGTATACATGTACACACACATATAGACATATATATATATATATATATATAGATATGCACACACGGGTATGTATGTATATATGTACGTACGTGCGTATGTATGTATGTATGTATCCATGTATGTGTAGATACATGCATGCATGCACGTATGTATGTATGCATGCATGCATCTATGTATGTATGTGGGAATGCACGTATGTATGTATGATTGTATGCATGCATGCATGCATGTATGTATGTATGTACTGCACGCATGTAATGTATGTATGTGTGTATATGTATGTATGCACATGTATGTCTGTATGTATGTATGTGTTTATGTATGTATGTATGCATGTATGTATGTATGCATGTATGTATGTATGTAGGTATGTAGGTATGGATGTACGTAGGTATGTAGGTATGTAGGTATGTATGCAGGTTGGTGGGTAGGTAGGTAGGTACGTATGCATGTATGCATGTATGCATGTATGCATGTATGCATGTATGTATGTATGTAGGTATGTAGGTATGTATGTATGTATGTATGTATGTATGTATGTATGTATATATGTAGGTATGTAGATATTCATGTGTGTTTATATGTATGTATATATGTATGCATTTATGTATGCATGTATGTATGCATGCATGCATGTATGTATGTATGCATGTATGTATGTATGTATGTATGCATGCATGCATGTATATATGTATGTACGTGGGTAGGTAGGTAGGTAGGTAGGCAGGTAGGCATGCATGCATGCATGCATGCATGTATGCATGCATGCATGCATGCATGTTTCTCTCTGTCATCTGCCATTCTCATTGCATCTGTCTCGCCCTCCGTCCCCTTGGTGCCGCACTCTGCCCGGGCTCTGCTGGTTTCGCGCGCGCGCGCTCGAGGCCACCTCAGTTCAGCGAATCCCGGCATAACCTGCGGAGTGAACTTCATGACAATTCTACTAAGCAACATGCCGCGCGCTTAGATCACCACGGCAGGAGGAGGAGGAGGAGGAGGAGGAGGAGGAGGAGGAGGAGGAGGAGGAGGTGAAGTTGGAGGAGGAGAAGGGGGGAGGAGGAGGAGGAGGGAGAGGAGGAGGAGGAGGAGGCCCTCCAGAACGTCCCGCTGCCTCCCCTTGCCACCAAGAGAGGTAGAGAGCTGCCCCCGCCCAGCCAAGGTCCACCGCGGCCGCCGCAGCCCCGCTGCCGGCCGCCCTGGGCGTCGACCTGCTCGAGCGGGCCGCCTCGGGGGGGGCCTCCTCGTCGCTCCTCCTCCTCCTCCTCCTCGTCCTCCTCGTCCTCCTCCTCCTCCTCCTCCTCCTCCCTCCTCCTCCTCCTCCTCCTCCCCTTCTCCTCCTCTTCCTTCTCTCCTGCTCCTCCTCCTCCTCCTCCTCCTCCTCCTCGTCCTCCCTCTCCTCCTCGTCATCCCCCCTCTCCCTCCTTTTCCTCCTCCTCCTCCTCCTCCACTTCCTCTTCCTCCTCCTCCTCCTCCTCCTCCTCCTCCTCCTCCTCGAGGGAGGACAAGGTATCGATACCGCCACCCTTGCCTTGACCCTCGCCTTTCCTTGGGCCCCCTGCGAGGCGCCACGGCTGGGTCCGCCTCGACACCCTGGCCAGAACGAATCCCAGGAGAGGTCTGTGGAGTAGCGGTGTTGGTGCCCGGCTGTCCCCCCAGGAGCCGCTCGCCCTCCGCCGCGCGCCCCGGAGCTCGGGCCTGCCGAGGCCTTGCGAGGGGCCCGTCCCCAGTTTTGAGGGTCGAGTTTCCGTGGGGTATCTGCAGGCTGGGTCTCGTGATTAATTCTGACGGCCCCGTCATTCGGCCACGCGCAGAGGGGGGTGGGGTGAGGGGGGAAGGCTTCTTAGAAGCACCCCTGCTTCTCAGAAGGTGCGGGCCTTCTCTATACATGTGAGGCCAGCGCCTTCTAAGAAGCAGCCCCCTTCTAAGAAGCCTTCCCCCCTCCCCCTACCCCCCTCTGCGCGCCACCAAGTCATGCCAACTCGAGTCCTCCAAACTCGAGTTTTGCGTCTCCCCGATCCGACTCGGCCGGCGTCGTGTGGAGATCGCGGCGGCAGCGTTTTCTCTCTGAAGCTCTTCTTGTTGTTTCTTAGAGCGTCTTCCAAGGTCACCCGCGGGGGCGCGAAGATCGTGCACCGCGGCCTTCTCCAAGTGAGGGCAGCGCGAGATCGAGGTGGCGCGAAGATAAGCGAAGAAAAAAACGCCTTATACATGGGCGTTCCGCGCGGATTCCTTGGATCCGCGCTGGGCCCCCGGCGGCGCCTTCGGCGCCGCCCCTGGCGCACTCCGCGCGCCAGGGAGGGGGGGCCAGCACGGATCCAACAAATCCGCGCGGCGCGGCACATTTTTTTTTTTTTTTTTTTGTTGTTTCTTGTTTTTTTTTTGTTTTTGTTTTTTGTTTTTTTTATTTTATCTATGCTGTGTGCTCCTCTTCTCGATGAGTTGCACGCCGCTCACCGCGGGGCGCGAGGCGCGAAGGTGGGGTGACCGAGCCGGCCCTTCGCCTCGGGACGCCCTCCGGCGGCCGCGCCCCGTCGATGAGCGCGCCCCCGGGGACGGGCGGCGGGCCCGTCTCCCGCGCCGGCGGTCGCCGGCGCCGCCCCTGGCCCGAGGCCTGGCCATCGCTCGGACGTCCATTCCCTGTGGTTTTTGATCGGTTTCGTGCGTGGCTTTTTCGCCAAATGATCAGGATGCTCCTCGATGGTCCTCGCCGAGAAAAAATACACTAGGGGGCCACATGCGAACCCTACCCCTACCCCCCCAACGATTTCTGAGGGGGAGGGTGGGGTTCACTCCGTTCGGGAGCTCCCGAGCGAAGTGAACCCCGCCCTCCCCCTCAGAAGTCGTGGGGGGTGGGGGTAGGGTTCGCATGCGGCCGCCTGGTGTATTTTTTCTCGGCGAGGACCATCGAGGAGCATCCTGATCATTTGGCGAAAAAGCCACGCACGAGACCGATCAAAAGCCACAGGGAGTGGACGTCCGAGCGATGGCCAGGGGGTGCCCCCGGGAGATCCAGGGAGGGCCCCTGCGGCCTCTGGAGCCCCCCCCCTGCCAGGGCTCGTGCCGACGCCCTCGATCCGATCTCGGCTCGGCTCGATCCGATTCCTCCGATTCCTCGAAGGATTGCAAAACAACCCCGAAGGATTGCAAAAAAAACCTTGGTCGAAGGATTGCAAAACAACCCTTGGTCCGAAGGGTTTTTTTGCAATCCTTGGTTTTTTTGCATTCCTCCGACTCCGGTTCGCTTCGATTCCTCCGATTCCGATCCGTCGCCTTGCCAGGGCTCGTCTCGATTCCTCCGATTCCGATTCGATTCGACTTGGGATTCCGCTTTGGGCTCCGATTCCTTCCTGGAGGCATACTGGCCTGCCGATTGCCGCCGATACGACTTCTCCCGACTCGGCTGCCGCTTTCCGCCGATCCGATTCATTTCGATCGCCGCTCCGACTTATCGATTCGATTCTGGGCTCTCCTGCCTTGCGAGGCCCCGAGGGCCCAAGGGGCTTCACAGTGGAGCGCCAGGCTGGGGACACCATGGGCCAGGGCCGCAGCTGTAGCAGCCCGCGACCGAGAGGCCGCTGGAGGCTGGAGCTGCGGCCCCAAGGGCCGGCGTCCTCTCTCCCCTTTCTGCCGTGCTCTGCCATGCATCGGTCACCCTCTCGCGATCATTGCCCTGCTCGACGTCCGACGGAGCGAAGGGGCTCGCGCTGTGGTACGGGCTCGCGCTCCTGCGCCCCTCCCGCTCGGCGGCGCCGCAGGCGTGGAGCTTCCTGCTCTCCACCCGCTACGAGCTCTTCCTGTTCGTGGCCGCGCTCATGGCGCGCCCCCGCCTCCGGTCGGAGTCGCCCATCTTCTGCGATGGGGTGATGGGCAAATTTTCCACCACCGCTGCCACATGTAGGACGGGGGAGAAGGGAGGATGAGGAGGTCCTCCTCCTCCTCCTCGTCCTCCTCGTCCTCCTCCCACTCCTCCTCTCCCTCCTCCTCCCCCCACCTGTGGTAGTGGTGCTGGAACATGGGCCCATCTTCTGGGTATACGCTGGCTGCTGGGCGTCGCGCCATGGGGGAGCCGGGTCCTAGATCTCCGCCAGTGGGTTTTTTTCAATCGCGGCGTGTCCTCTTCTTCCTCCGGGGGTCGCTTTCGGGCCCCATGGCCATCAAAACGGGATCGAGGACGCAAACCTACGCCTGGGGGAGGGGTCGTCCAGCAATTGATGTATGTGTGATTCGATGTTTCCCCTTTTACCAGCACCAGTGCACAGTGTGACGCCAGCCTGCTGCCAGCGCGCTGCCACTGCTCGCCCTTCCTCGCACTGGAGAGTAAGAGGCAATCTGACATGGTCTTAACTGCCCTGATACCTTCGTTTTGAAGCGCAATATGTGCCGTGTTCGAAACGTCCGTGTGAGCACGCGGCGTGTTGGCCCAGCGTGTTGGCCCACGTCTTGGCGAGCGTGTCGCGTGAGACCTGCGTGGTCAGTCTGTGTGTTGAGCTCCGTATCGATGTGCTGCATGCTGCGTGTTGCGCATCGGGGCAGCTGAGGACATGACATCCTCGTTTCGACACTCCGCGGCCGCCCCGTCGGTCCTCTCCCCGCTCTCGCACGCTGGCCAGTTCGCTTTTCGGCGCCCCCGCCCAGCTCCAGCGCTGGTGCAGCCAGCTCCGCCTCGCCGCCGAGGATACAGTCGGGGCGCTGAAGAAGGAACCCTTTTCGTTGGGGAGGGGCTCGGTGCTCCTTGATTGTTTAACAGTTTGCCTCGGGTTTTCCTGAGGTTTTCCATGGGAAATCGAGGCTGAACCTGTGGGAAAACGGGGCCTCGTTCCTTATTTAGGGTTCCTTAGGTCAACGCCCCTACTGTACAGTTTCGGCACGTCGGCCGAACGGGCCGAGGTGGGGCGTGCAGCGCTTCCGACCAGCACGGGTGGCCGCCCCCCGGGGCGAGCCGGCGTGGCTCCCGCCACGCCGCCGGGGCTGCCTCTCTCGGGTGCCCGGGCGGCCGCGGGGCCCGTGCGGCCCTGCAGAGCAGGCCGCGGCCTGCACCAGGGCCGACATTCTCCCGAAGCCGCGGGCCAGTCTGCGAGCTCGGGGGCCCTCGAGACGGAGCCAGGCATGGATGCAGAGCCGTGGGCGTTGGGGCGTGAAGCACGCAGAGGTGAGCATGCAGAAGAAGCACAAGAGTAATACACATGGCCTGCACTGTTCGCGGCAGCGATGCAGTGAGCAGAAGACGACGACGTGAAAGAAACGAGCGAAGTCTATTACACATAACCTCTCACGTAGTCTGCAGATCCCGAGATCCCATAACGGAAGACACTCGGAGGGTACGCCAACGCCCTCGCGCGTGGTCTATGCGCCACGTAAGCAGTCTCGCCCGCTCTTCTGATGACCTTCAGCACAAATGCCACAATGGTACATACCAATCAACCCACACAGAAACAATCCAGCCGTTGCCCAGCGCGAGGGTGCCCGGGCCCGCCGTGGAGAACGCGTCGAGCAAGAGCGGGGCGGCCCTGCGGTCAGGCTTTGCCGTTGAGGCTCAGAGCAGTGCTCATGATGTCGAGAACGGCCCCTTTCAGGATAGCCTGCGATGGCAGCACCAGTGAGGCAACTCGAGTGTCATGTTCTGTGCAGTGGCATAGGATCAGCAGGTAGAAATAGCACGCCGTCATGACAAGCCCACCTGCGAGGGTTTAGTCGTGGACGCCCAAGCCAACATGGCGGCACTGCACTCGTTCGTCGCTCGAGGAACGTCATGTGCTCTTGGTTTGTCGTGCTCGTTTGCGGGTCTCCCTGCACTGGTTCGAGGTGGGTGTCCGGCAAGGGATCTCTCCTTCCCCAGATCGGGATCTGGAGGGTATGGCCGATGCAGGGCTCGTTTCGATTCCTCCGATTCGATTCGATTTCGATGGCTTCCGATTCCGATTTGATTCGACCTCGGATTTCAATTCGAGCCCCGATTTCTCGATGGAGGCCTAGTAGCCCGCCGATTCCCGCTGATTCGACTTTTCCCGATTCGGTTGCCGATTTCCGCCGATCCGACTTATTTCGATCGCCGATCCGATTTGTCGATTCGATGTTAGGCTCTCCTGGAGGAGACGCGTTAGTGGCCGTCCAACGTGTGGCCCGTGATCTTCAAATCTTTTTTGATGTCATTCTCGTCGAAGCGTGTCGTCTGCTGTGTGCATGCCCAGCTTGTTCTTGCGCTTCTCTTTGTCAAACTCTTACGAAATTGCTCTTTGAGGGCTTCTTGGCCTGTCATTTTCCAGTTCCTGGTCTGTCATTTTCCTGGTCTGTCATTTTCCAGTTAAGTACTCCTGCAGTATAGACGGGATGGCTACGGCGGCGCTGCATTTTCTTCTGCTTGCTGCTGTCGTTGACCTCAGGCGGCACCAGTCACTTCGTCCTTCGCCGCCGCCTCTTCCTTCGCCCGGGGAAGGACAAACTACATAACATGCACTTTCGTAGGTCCGCACGCTTTGTTCGACGTCTGGACATCTGGGGCATTCCTGCCTTGATTCGGCCCCTGGAAGCCTCAGGGATCGATCTGGCTCTACACGTCACGATGCGCGACGGGTTCGACAGCCAGAGGCGTACTTTTTCACGATGCTGTGCTTTCTTCGTGACGCCGGGTGTCGCAGTCGTCGTCGTCGTCGTCGTCGTCGTCGTCGTCGTCGTCGTCGTCGTCGTCGTCGTCGTCTCGTCGTCGTCGTCGTCGTCTTTCTCGTTGTCGCCGCCGTCGTCGTCGTCCTCCTCCTCTTCCTCCTCCTCCTCGTCCTCCTCCTCCTGGTCCTCTCCAGTGTTCATCCTTGTCCTACTCTTCGTCAACGTCGTCGTTTTGTCTTCGTCGTCGACGTCGTCATGGCCGTGGTGCGTGCTGCTCTGCTCGGTGCATGCTTCCCGCGTGCAGTGAACACCCGCCTGGCTTGCTGGGCGTTGCACGCCGCCTGGCTGTCCCTTCGTCCGTCTGTCTGTCTGTCTGTCTGCTTGCCTGTCTGTCTGTCTGTCTGTCTCTGTCTGTCTGCGTGTCTGTCTGTCTGTCTGCGTGTCTGTCTGTCTTCTCAGCTCTCTGAGCCGCGGCGTTCAGAGCGCCTTAGCTCTGTGACGCGTCAGCCAGCGCCATCCGCTCCCTTAGCGGTGGTCTTGGCGAGGTTGGGGGAGAAGGCGCCGAAACGCGCGCCTGGGCTCAGCAAGACATGCTGGTGCGAACCCAGCATGTCTGGCTGCTTTTCGGGGGGGTGGGCCTGTGCTGTGGGGCTGGCCGCAGCAACGCTCAACGATGTGCGGCGTACCGACCCTCGCAGTGTGGGCCATTTCCCGAATCTGGGCTTCGAGGCGAATCGTAAGCTATCCTTGTCTCCGTCGTGGGCGTCGTCGTGGCTGTTGCTCTGCTCGGGACTCTTGTCATGTATGCAGTGACCACAACAAACTTCTACCTTCCTCGTCCTCGTCCTGACTCTTTGACGTGCTTTCGTGTCGCTGCTGCCCGGGCTCCTCCAACTCCGAGCGCGAAACAGGCCCATTTTCTTCTCTTCGGCAAGCCCATCACGAAGGCGCCGAAGAAGTTTGGCAAGGCTTTTCGCAACCCTGCCTGCGCTTGATTGGTAGGATCGCGAGGGGGAGGGGGAGGTGGGGGGATTGGGAGGAGGAGGAGGAGGAGGAGGAGGACCAGTGTAAACCCAAGCCGCCTCGTCGATATTGTAATCTACCCTCCATGCAAGTTTCCTCTTCACAGGTCCCTACAAGACTTTGTGCTCATTGTGAGAGTGCCCCATGGGAAGACAACCGTCTGAAAATCTCCAATCATGTCGAAACACCATTCCTGGGACTTGAACCCTGCGAGTCAACGTGACTGTTGTTCCTGAGAAGCCTAAACCTTGCCAGAACATCATTCCCTGGGCTTCGACACCGCAGAACAACGTCACTGGTGTGTCCCGGTCAGCCTAAATCGTGTGAGAACACAACCCCTGGGACTTCAGCCGTCCGATTGCTTGAACCTGTTGCAACCTTGCACAACGAATGTGCGCGGCGCTAACACGAGAGCCTCATTGTTGAACCGAGCCGCCCTCCATCGTTGACACTGTTGCTGCAAACTTCTAGGGTGAACGTGCGCGGCGCTCGGACGAGAGACATTTCGAAAACGGCTCGTCCTCCATCCTGGAACCTGTAGCAGACTTTTCCGACGACTGCGCGGCGCTACGGCGAGAATGCGATTTTGAAATCCACCCACCCTCTACCCGTGAAGCTGCTGCGAATTTAAAGTTTTAGGGTTATGCATGGTGAGGAACTTGTAGGCGGAACGCCTGGCCCACTCTACTGACACGTCTGGTGTTGCAACAGGGAGGAGTTATGTATAAGCAAGAGGGATGTAGGATGAGGATGGGGGAGGTCGGCTTGGTCGTTGTCGAGGGCGCAAGTCGAGCTCGCAGCTGCTGGGAGAGTGCTAGACCCAGAGTCAGCGCTGCCTGCGCCGTCCCGCCTGAGGCGGCTAGGCCGAACGAGCGCTGTGAGGAGGAGGAGGACGAGGAGGAGGAGGAGGAGGCGGAGGAGGAATAGGAGGAGGAGGAGGCGGCGGAGAGGAGGAGTGAGGATGAGGAGGAGATGAGGAAAGGAAGTGAGGAGGAGGAGGAGAGGAGGAGGAGGAGGATGAGAGCGGATGGAGGAGGAGGGAGGAGGGAGGAGAAGTAGGGAATAGGAGGCAGGAGGAGGAGGAGGAGGAGAGGAGTGGAGGAGGAGGCGGATGAGAGGAGAGAGGAGGAGGAGGAGGGGAAGGTGGAGGGAGGAGGAGGAGGGGGAAGAGGAGAAGGAGGAGAAGGGAGGAGGGAAAAGGAAATGAAGGAGGAGGATGAGGCTGAGGAGGAGGAGGAGGAGGAGGAGGAGGAGGAGGAAGACGAAGAGGGGGGACACGTTGATTCTTATCTCTTCTCCAAATCGAGCCGCGGAGTCTGTTCCATCGCCCCTTTGACCCTTGCGTTTGCTGCTCCCTGTGCGGCATTGCACTTCTCATCCGCCTTTCCGTTCCGATCACAGCTGGACTTTCCGTTCGTGATCATCGTTGTGTCAGTGCTTTGCTTTTGCTGTTCGTCAGAACCATCGCCTGGCACCGGACTGGTTTTGGAACATGCCGCAGGGCTCCCAGGCGCGCGTCGCCGTATGGCTCCGCAGGTGTATCGTGTGGTACGCCTCCAGCATGGGGGCTGTGCCGCTCCTAGAATTGAAGAGAAGAGGGGGACACTGTAACCAGAATCTTTCGGAGTTTCTCGCGGATCTCTTGGATCGGCGCTGGACCTCTCGCCCTGGTGCGTCGGAGGCGGCGCCAAAGGCGCCGCCTTGGGAGGTTCAGCGCCAGTCCAAGCAATCCGCTCGGACTTTCGACAATTTATGTTTTTACTTTTCTTTGTCCTTCTATAGATGCTATAGCCCTGCGATAATGTCGATTGGTCTGGCTCGCGCAACTCCACACCAGCACCTAAGCTGGCATGCGCGATTTCATGCAGGGCTGAGCTCATACTCATCGGCTGTCGCGACATTGCACCAGTTTGTACGATCCTTGGGTTTGTCGTATGCGTTCAGAATCCTACACACGTGACCTAGGAGTACGCGTAGGATGTTATATTGCTCGCGTTGTACGCGCTGATTGGCAGTGCCGCACGTTAATTAATTGATGGTGTATGCATTGGCATGCACACACTCTAGAAACCTTTTGGGAAACCCTTTGTCCATGGCTCGCCGTCATGCTTGCCAGGACGCATGGGGCACAGAGTAGTAGAACTCATGAGTATGTGTTGACGCCGAGACGGCACGAAGGATTTCCCTGGAACTCCTTACACAAGCCTCCGACGACATCGACATTTTCGAGTCTTGGGGCCCCAGACCTCTCAACCCTCCCCCTGGGACTGGCTTTTCGCCCTGAGTTGTTTTGAACAGCCCAAGGGGCCGAAACCAGCCTCCAGAGGCCGAACACGCCGAAGAACCTCGGCCTCTGTATCTTCGACTCTGTGGAGGCCTCGGTGCTCGTCCCGAGGCCCACACGGTGGGCGCCTGATGTCTTGTCTGTGCCCGCCGCCGCCGCCGGCGAGGCGAAGGGAAAGCTCGGCGAGGCCTGCGGCCCCACCGAGAAGAGCCCGCGCGCCGGGGAGGCTCCCGCGTCCCCGCACCGCGAACTCCTGCTCCTGCTCCTGCTCCTCCCTCCTCTTCCTCCTCCCTCCTCCTCCTCCTCCTCCT